ACAAATAGATCAAAAGAAATATATACAAGCTAAGATACACTACCTCTACCTTTGATACAAAGGATTTAGCTACCCATTGTCATGGTATCTTGCTTTACAATACAAGAAAGAAGATGAATGAGCATCCAAGATGAAGAATCGATCTAGGATGCAAATTCAGCTTCTACTTGCAAAATATCACTTCTCGGTGAAAAAATGATGAAACTAGGGTTTTTTCTCCCTAAGCCAATGTTACAATCTCAGAAAATAAGAGTTGGTAGGTTCTTATCCCCATAAAGTGGAAAAAATGACATAAATATCTTTTCCAAATATGTCATGTTCACACTGCAAAGTCCACTTATAGGCACTTTAAGTGCCTCTGAACAGTTAAACCACCCCTGAAGATTCCTTGACTTCACACTGTGAAGCTTTTGTTTGCACTACAAACCTGCTTGCTCAAACCATGCACTGCCACCAACCAGGGGTTTAGCTACTTCCATCCAAAAGTTCTGGTTCGTTGTTCCTTCGCTATGAGCTCGTACTCCTTCGCACAATGAACCTGCAAAACTCTTCCTCATTTCTTTGGCTTCCTTGTCCATTCAAATGTGTCTTATTCTTTGATAATTCAACCTATTTCCTACACAATAGCACACATATCAAGGAATCCAAAGATAAAATCAATTATATTGAAGAATCTCATAAAACTCATAAGAACATACATTTATTCAATTGAAACTTGAGAAAATAGTTGAAAAATAACAAGAATCATGGATCAAAATAAGGCATATTTGGCATTCAACAGATACACAGAAGATCTTGATCCTTTGTATAATTTTTTTAACCATAGCGTATTCAGAAGTATCATGTACTATAGAGACGTTGAGAGTGGTTATCCGTAAAACATGTCAACTCTTCTTGAGCCTTGTGAACATATAATCTAGCTGACAAGCTGATTTGACATTACAGCTTGCTTTTTGTAGTACGGATAACTTCAGCTTCACTACAACTTCTGAACAATCACCAGAAGCCGATATAATTACCAAGTGTAGAAAGAATGTGTTGCTTCTTCTGATGCTGAGGCCTTCAGCTTCAGAGTCTACGCCAGACATCACCTAGCAAGTGTTCTTCAGATTCTGTATCATCATAAACGCATAACTCAGCTTCACTCAAGTGTACCTTCATATCAGATTCTGAATATATCTTTTAAGTATAAGAACCTACATACTTGAACACACATTAGATAACACCATTGTTCTTTTAATACTTCTGTTATCATCAAAACTAAGGATACATGTCATGAACAAATCTTGTTCAAACACTTTGTTTTAGTTAATAGACCGAGATATCACTATTAGGTAATGCACATTCTATAGCATACTCAATATGGAGTCTTTATGGTTTATAACTGTTGGAACTTAATGTTTTGTGTTGGTTAATAGACCGAGATATCAACTATTAGGTAATGCACGATGTTGAGATTGACATGAGACACGAATGAGACAAATAAGTGATAATATTAATAGTTGAGTATAGGAAAATATTACTAACTTATGGTTATGCATGATAAATACATAATGATGTAATCATCTCATAACAATTTTTCTTACTGTTAACACTAAAATCTCCATTTTACTTTATGTCATTTTTTTTTCATTTCTTTTATGTCATTTACTTCCATGCATCAAACTAACTATAAATCCCTTCTCTACTTAAAATCTTTAAAAACTGGTGGACGATTTTTTAATGGTATCAATCTCCGTGGATACGAAAATTATAAAAATTACATTTGCGCTCGTAACAAGATTCTCCAGTGAGGAATCACCAAGAAATAAATGTTCACATTCTTTTCATCCTTCCCGCTCTGACAAAGACTGGTAATTATAAGGCTCCTTAGCAGCGAGTGGTGGAGTCATTCCATGCCAATAGATTTTGTTGTCCTTCTTAGGGTTTGATGTCTTGATTGTCTAACCCTAGCTTTATAAAGACGTTGTGTATATGTCATTGTAAGAAATATCATCGTCGATAAGGATCCCTGACACCAAGTGGTTCTCTATAGCGACATTTACGAACAATGAAAGTGTCATGATATAATCATATCAACTTGTTCATTGTCTCAGAATGTTAATATATGTATATATTCTTCATGTCTCCTCTTCACCACCAGAGATCTTGAAGAGCTTTGTGTCATATAATTTTTATTTACTTTCTGCATGCTAGACGATCCTTCTTCGTTCTCAGAGACGCTGAGGTAGAAGGATGATTTCGAGCTTGATGAATTTGTGGTGATTCAAGAAACAAAATCGAAGATCATCATTGTCCTTCAAGAAAAATCATTGTAGTCGTTACATGACTTTAGAATCACAAGGATTTGATTATGGAGGTACATCATAATCAAAAGGTGACTTCTAGATACTAAAGAAGTCACTACAACAACAAACGCCTTTTACCTCGGTTGAAAAAGAGATCTTACCTTGGTTTCACAAGCGAGGTAACGAAGGGTGTCTTGAAAATTGCACACTTTACCTATCGGTTTTAAAAAAACGACGGGCATGTGTAAAGGTCATGGGTTCAATCCCAGAGAGTCTTTTTTGAAATTTTGAAATGGTGAAAACACATGTCGCCTTAGTTTTGACATTTCACCTATGGATATACCGCATTTTCACCTCGGTTTTCTCATAAAACTGACGGGTAAAACAATTTTGAGTTTATTAAATCTAATGTGGATTGCTTATTTCAGTAAACCCTATTATGAGCATATAACTTCTCAAAATTGGTTAGGAAAATAATTATATGAATAATTGTGTTATATTTGAAGAACAACTTACATTGATTAGTGATTTTGAAGCATCTTGTAACTCATCATTCATGTTACTGTTATGGTTAAAATATCTTCAATGTTTCAAATTCTTTATTCTACGTTTTGTTTTATACTAATTCATTCTTGAAAGCATAAAATATGATGCTTTGAAAAATGAACAAATATGACAGAAAGTTGAACGAAAAGTAGAAGTATTTGAGAGATTTTAACAATAAAACAACATGAGATAAATGACGAGTTGTAGAATGCTTGAAAATTATTAATCATTGTAAGATAAGTTTCAGATACAACATATTTTTTCATATGATTATTTCGAAAATCAATTTAATAGGTTATATGTTCAAAGAGGGGTTAGTAAAACAAACAATCGACATTAGATATTATTAACTCAATTTAAAGGAACAAGATGAGAGTTGCACAAAGGATCACAAAAAATATAATCTCAATATCCATATCAATCTTAAACTCAAACACAATAACAATAACTAAAATACAACATATATATTTAAAAACAACAACTTACATTAAACAACAACAGTAAGAACAACAACGTCAATAAACAACCTCTAGGATTTAAGGTCTCAACAATAAGAACAACAACATCAACAAAAATAACATCAATAAACCTATAACATAAAGTTGTTTAATTAGCAGCAGCAACAACAAGATAACCCTCTAGGGTTTAGGGTCTCAACACCGAGTCTCAACAACAAGAACAAAAACATCAACAACAAGAATATCAATAAACTTATAACATACATTCGTTTAAACAACAAAAACAACAAGAGAAAACCTCTAGGTTTCGGATCTCAACAACACAACAATAACAAAATATAACAACAATATGAGTAGTGATGTTTGACGTACAATATCTCTGAAGAAGTAAAATAAAACAGATTGGATCTCTGAACAAGATATGTGTTTATGTATCTCGTTGTTTATGATTCTTTTATTAAGGACTTTTAGTTAGGATTATGTTTGTGTTGTTTAAACAAGGGAAACTAAATGCTACAAGCTAAAACAATATATATCACAGAAACATATTCACCTCGGTTGGAAAGAAAGCCGATGTAAAAAGTGGCGTATTTTTAAATTAAAAATAAAATATTCAAGAAGCTGTCACTTTTAATGAGATAAAAACATAAGCTGAAACTGCAAGGATTCGAAGTATGTGCACTAAATAAGTCTACCCCTCCCTCGGGTTTTCAATATATTATATTTAAAAAAAAATAAAATTAGAGTGTGCCCAAAAATTTTGCCTCGGTATTTCAATGTGAGATGAAATCGTTGTCATAAAAAGTGATTTTTCTTGTAGTGAGTGTTCCATACAGAAATCATAAATGACGGATATGAAGATGTGAAGTCGACTAGATCGACATCAAGTGCTTTTTGGTACGGCGAAAATTGCGAACCAACAAAATTTGCACTTAAACGCCTAAATCAATGAGATGTGAAAAAAATGGTAATGTGAGTTATTGTGAGAACATACCTACGACTAATACATTATGAAGCTTATATAATTAAAATAGTCTTATATCCTCTTATGTAAGATGTAAGAATGTGTCTGATCAAATCTAACAATAAGTGATCTTTAGATGGAAGGAATCAGGTGTGCGAGACATGATTCTACATAATCCTTATCAACTTTGTAAAGGTGCCGTTTGTATTAGACTCTTATGCAATTGGACCTCCTATCTGTTGGGTCTCCTATCTGTTGGGTCATTGGTCGGCACGTAACAGTTTCTCATTGCCATATTTAATTTAAATTATTATAATAATTATAAAAAAGTTGTACTCCAGAACCGGTTTTAATAATATCAAAATGAATTTTGAAAAGTAGATTTAGAAATTTTACCCATTTTTGGTTAATAATAAGAGGTTTTAAGTTATTATTATTAGCTATGGATATAAAACCTAAAAACCGGCTAAGTATACGTATCATATAGTAATTTTAATAAAATAAAAATGATTGAGAACTCAAAAATATCACACAATCCATACATACGATCCTCAAAATAAGCTTAAGAAGAGACTTGGATTTCGATATAGGTACCCACAAACAATATGGGAATACACTCTAATATGATGCAGAAATGGTCCTATATATAGCCTTAAAATAAAACAAGCTTTATCTTGAGAAACTCATTAGAATAAAATTATAGAGTGCTTAACCATAAGTCATAAATTATTTTTATACGCTTAATTAATCACTTCTAATGATCATGCTGGGTTGAAATCCATTAGCAGTAAATCCTCCATCAACAGAAACAATCTGTCCTGTGATGTAGGAAGCAGCAGGCAGGCAAAGGAAAGCCACCAAAGAAGACACTTCATGTGTTTCTGCTATGCGTTTTATCGGCGTTCGAGATAGTACTTCATTCACAAACTCTTTGTTAGCATATAACTGTAAGAAAGATTAACAATTATCAACCAAATTTGTGAACACAATAACATTGCAATTTGAAGATTAAAAGTGTTAAAAGAGCATTACATAATCATTAAGTGGCGTTTTTGTATACCAAGGTGCAACACAGTTGATTCTTATATTGTCTTTGGCCCATTCACAAGCAAGACCTTTGCTCAACTGATTGATTGCAGCTGAAGAAAACAGCACGGTGAACTGAATCGCTTATTTCCATTATTTTTTTAGCAAAAGATGAAACAACGTACATATAGTTAGTTAGTTAGTTACCTTTACATGCTGCATAGATGGTTCCTGAACCTACACTTGTGAGAGCTGCAACAGAGGAAATGAACACAATGCTTCCATTTCCAGATTGTTTAAGAAGAGGATGTGCCAGTTTGCTTAGATGATATGCAGAATCCAAGTTAATTGACAGTAAGTTTGAATAATCTTCGGTTGTATACTCAATTGTTGGCTTCCTCACATTTGTTCCAACATTGTTTACCTAAGCTCATAAGATTATGATATGAACATAATTTAGATAAGAAATGTTTGATAAATTAAAACAGTAATGAAACGTGATTTGGCCTAATTCAATCCTACAAAATTGACTTCTAGAGTGAGCATTGTGTCCACTTATTTCAGGTCATATATTATCGGAGTTTTAACACAGCCTCTCACATATAGGATTGAACATTTGGAGTATGCAAATAAATGATGGGGTTGCAATAGCAAAAATGACAACCACTTAATCTTAAACGATGCTCTAATAGAATGTTAAGAAATGTGATTAAATCTAACTCATTCCCACATACATTATAAAGACATATTTAGACAATATATTTTCCGGCCTTAAACTTTTAACATTACACAACAGAAGTATTCAAAATATAGATAAGAAATAGTAGTAACTCACAAGTATGTTGAGGTTGCCGTTAAAGACAGAAGCCACTTTTCGAAGAAGCTCCTCTCTATGAGAAGAAGAAGTCACATCGCAAACCGATCCATGAACTGAAAAGCCTTTCTCTTTCCACTCGTTTAAGCATTTATTAAGCTCTTCTTGGTTCCTAGAACAAGTGTACACTGAGGCACCAAACTCAGCTAGTTCTTCCACCACAGCATGTCCGATTCCACGAGTTCCGCCAGTAACTAGAGCTGTGGTTCCCTTGAGAGTCCATCTTGAGCTTCTGCTTCTGCTCTCACTGTTCGCCATTGCTGTTTCTCTTACTTTCTCTAGCTAATACGGAGAGCGCGTGTCGGTTGTGTTTTTTAATGATTTCTCCCACATGGGCCCATTGCAAGGGTGTCTTTATGATTGAGGAAGAGAATGAGGCACGTTTTTGCTTTAATTATTTTTGAATGGGACTCCCGACAATTCAAGATTAAGTTAATTAAGCATGTTTGTTTAAAAATTAGTTATAATATTAATTGGACAGTTTGTATTCTCAATCAATGTCAAAACATTTTATGGGAAGAATATGACACCAAATAAAGTTGGTCGGGGCAATGACTAGTTGTAAATGTGTCTGAATTGCTTATTATATGCATGTTTTTAATGGAAAAGGGTTCTCTTTATTTGTAAATGTGTTTCATGCTGTAAAAATTTTAAAAGATAAATAATGAAAGAAGTCAATTTGAGATTTTCTTTTTTAAATAATCATGTTTTTCAAAAGAAATTTCAAAACAATCATATATTAAAAAAATACTAAAAAAATCAAGTTTCAGAAATAAAAATTTACACACAAGAGCATTTTTCTTATATATGCGTCAAGCAAGATAGCGCATGCATATAATGACAGACAAAATCGTAGATAAAAGTTAATTTACCGTATATATAGCTTAAAATATTTATACCTACGACACTTTACCGTAGATACAACAAATTATATGTTATAAAAATAGATTTTTACCCACGGTAAAGTATCTATGTGAAAAAAAATGAATGCATTCATCATATCATTTGGTGCATGTTCTTGTATGCAAATTTTTATTTTTGAAACAGGGTTACCTTGATTTATTTTATTTTATTTTGAATATATGGTTATTTTGGAATTTCTTTTTAAAAACATGGTTATTTAAAAAAAATCTCAATTTGAGTTATTGAGAAATTGTAGGGGTGGGAGGTATGAATGTGGGAGGGCCAGGTAATAAACTCCTTTTTGGAGATGAGATATTTCAAAATGATAAAGGTCAATGAATTGTTGGATTTTCTAATAACTTGGGCTCGTTTAATGTTTTAAAAGGTTAATTTTCTCATTTTAAGGATTGCTCTTGCATTCTATTGAAAAGTTAAAATTATTTCTAAAATGCGGAAATATATTTTCAAAAGTATTTCAGTTCACACACAATTTATTCGTAAGTTAGTCAGATTATAGTTTTTGTCAACAATTATTATGAAAATACATCTCCATATAACTTAAGGAAATGCAACCGCGAACGTGTTTTTAATCAAAAAAGCGTGATACCCCCCATCCCTCCTTGTTTTAGTATACTCTATCAAATTCTCAAACTTTCTCAGCTCGCTTTCAAGTTTCTACTCTCAATATCCAATCAATCGAATGACTCATCATCAAACTTAAATTTGGTAAGTTTTGAATCCATGACTTTCACATTTGATTTCTCTATACATGCATTTGTAGATATTGAGTATTAGGTTGTGTAATATATATCAATATATAGGTAGTTTAACTGAGCAACGTGTTTGATAGGTAGTTTAGATGAGCAATGCGTTTTGAGCATGTTTGGTTTCTAAGCATTTCTACCATTTGCGTTTTTTCTAAGTTGCAAGTTTATACGGAAGTACATTTTCGTATTTGTTCGAATTTTGATTTGCCAAATATACGGAAGTCCATTTCCTTATTTTGTTTGTCTGCACTATTTGGGGTTCATTTCCAATATGTTTCATTTGGATTTGATTTTTTTCTACTTTGTATTGCTTGTGCGATTTAATTATAGGAAACATTTGCAACTCTTGATTGGTTCTAAGTCATTTGATGCAAAGGCGTAACTTCTACGATTCATGCATTTCCATCTTCATCTTATCGGAGGAGGCATGTGTAGCCTCTTGATGCCTTAGAAGCCCCGCCAATCCAAGTTGATGCACATGTTGTCAATACAGTTGTTCTTGAGGAGTTTGGAGAAGGTTGGTATGACATATTATTACTGCCTCGATATACATGTATTTTTATTTAAACAAATATGTTATAATATTTAATTTTTTTGATGATAATTTATTTTCTGCGGTATCGTGATGCTTTAAAATGCCTCAACCATGGTATGAAGAATGTGAGGCTGCAGCAGCTTGAGGAGGAATGGTTTCACGATGTGATGCAACTATCTAGGTTTCAAGATTTATGCATGAATAGTTATATTATTACTAACCATGGTATGTTGTATGTGTTTGTTAAGAGATGACACTTTGATACGTCATCTTTTATTCATTTGCATGGTGAGATGTCAATCGCACTAGATGAAGTCTCATGCATGTTACATCTTTCGATCAGGGGAAGATTATTAAACCAGTTCAAGATTACTAGAGTTGATGCATTGTAAATGATAGTGGATTGTTTGAGAGCTGAGCCAGATGATTCCCTGAAAGAGATAGGACATGTTTGAGGGTGTCATGCCAGATTTAGATTCCTGGAGAGGTTGTATTCACACCAATTGGCTGCGAAAGAGCAAGTAGATGGTGATGATGAACAAGTTATGCAACATATAACATATGCATTAAGGACATAACTTACATACTTGGTTGGCATGCCCATATTTATGGACAAACGTTCCTATTACATGGATGTGGTTTACCTTAGATACTTCATTGACTTAGAGCAGATTCATGAGTATAACTAGGGTGTTTATTTGGTTTACCTCTACTTCAAGTTAGTTGAAGTTTGTCTTTGGAAGACTAGACAGATGGCAGCTAGCTGCATGCTTTTGACAGTAATATATTTGCATCATTTACTATTTATGTACCATTTTCATAACACTTATGTTATGTTATTACTAATAATTCATATCTAACATTTTCAAACATGGATCCTCCAACACTTCCCATGCATCTATGACAAGTTATATGTTGATGAATATTGATCGAAAAAATAGCAAGTGTATTATTTTGTCAATGTAGTAATAAGAGGTAACTTCCCCGAATATCGATCTCGAGGACTGCGTAGGAATACAAGTTTTGATTTCAATTCAATTAAACAAAAAGTACTTGTGGGTTGAGGATTATTTTGTAAAATTATAAAACAATTGCATAAAAATAAAGAAAGTATATGAGTGTTTTAGAAAATATATGAGTAAATTATGCTAGAGATGGTGTGTGATATGACTCAGTAACAACTCTGAATTACACTGCAACAACTTATGGTAACTAATTAATTACCGATTCTTTAGAATGTTTACCCCTAAGTCCTTAGTAAGAAAATCTTTAATCATCCACCCTAATTCCTATGTCCATAGAGAATTACAGATGAAATTAAGCAATCAATTATCAAGAATATTTTGGTTCCTATAGGGTATCCCTAGTCCTAGGTGATATCTACTACAGAATGATCCAAAGAAAAGCATTAACAACGGCGGTCCAGTCTAATCGTTAATCGAAAATCAAACCCTGTTTGTCTGACAGGGCAAGCATTAAGAATAGCTAGAGATCAAATCAGTTATTAAAAATAAAGGAATTGTTATTGCAATACTAATACCAGAGTCATTATAGATTCAAATCAAGGACACCCCATAGCATTAAAGGGTTTAACTACTCATAATATTCGAAGAAAATACAAAGTAAAAACTAGACATTACAAGATAATAGGATCCTTTGATCTTCAATTGCTTCCGCTCATGAAAACCTTCAATACTCCAATCACCTTGATCTCTCCAATCTTGATCATGTAATTCTTCTCCAGTCAAAAAGTCCCGGTTTCCTTCTCAAAAAGCATCTAAAACACTCCCAGGTCTAACACAACAGTAGGGAAATGCCCAAAATACCTTCATGGGCCACATAAGTCAAAAATCCAAGAAAATTAGAAGATGAAGCGCTTCAGCCAACAGGCAGTTGTGTTGGTCCCCTGGTTATCTGCAATAAAACTTCTCTATTTCAGGGATGCTGACACGGGCCGTGTCAGCTAACACTGGCGGCTGTGTCAGCTGTAACACCCTCCTAAATCCCACGGAAAACATATGAATAATCAGAGTAAATTGTCATGCATTTACAAAAAGAGTGTCACACATAATTTCTAAAACATCAAAATCACCTGTCATGCTCATTAACATTTCAATGTAAAATCATGCTTTACAAAATTTCACTTTACAAAATCATGCTTTACTCAATCTATCTCAATGTTCTCCTTCCAAAGTACTCTTATCCAACTCATGCTATCTGGAATACAACTCCATCACGACATCTCATAGTACCATTCTCAGCTCTTCGACTTTAAATCATTAAACTCTATTAATCTCTTAACTCAAATTAGGATTCCGACCTCCTCGGATCTTATTGAAAATACCAATAGTCAGTCTCAACATACAAAGCTCAATTCTATAAGAAGTCTCTTCACAGATTAAACTCATATCCCGAATTTTCTTAATCAGTTTTAACTTCCTTACCATCATTATTGGTATACACAAAACTTCCCAAGTCGATACCTTAGCTACCATGTTGTCTCACTCGAATGGTAATTCAACCCAAAGCCATAATCTTCCAAAAGTCCCTGTTATTTCCTCTACATCATATTCAACTTTTCAAATCAAACAAATACCTTAAGCTCTTAAGATCATGAACCATATCAAATCTCAACTAAACAATCGAGGCTTCCAAACTCTGGTACAAACACACAACAACAACCAACTCTAAATCACTTGTCAGATAATTCCTTGTGTACTTTAAGTTGCCTTAAAGCATAACCAAAACTCGCTGATGTTGTTCTTAACATATCTCCCAATCATCTCAATAAAGAATCACAAAACATAATAATTAGTTCTGTCGGATTCGGCGAAACCAACACACAAGCTATTGACAGCTCTCCCAAAAACTCTCGGAACTTTCTTCACAGTAGCATATCACTACTTCTTCTCAAACACTGATAACTCAAGCCCCCGATGCTCAACATGATCCTCTATACTCTTCAAGTAAACCCAAATATCATCGGTTACACACCTTTGACTTACTCAATTGAGTATGGAAAATCCCAAGCCAAACGAACACTTGATCTGTGA